GCATAGCCATGGATCAATATTCCACCTTTAAGTCAAGTTACTGGGTCTTCGAGCCTACGATTCATTATGTATGCATTTTATGAATTATATGATTCGCAGGGCCTTCGAGTCAATGTTTCAATGTTTTGATGGACTCTTGGTCGGTTATTCCATAAATGTCTCACTAGGTATTCAGTTTAAAGTTTATCTAGACTTTAACATAGCACTTCCACATGCCCTAGGATATAATGTTAACCTAGTTATACCCTCCACCATAGTATGGATGTAATATTAAGTTTGTCATTCCGTTTGTAACTTCTAGAAATATACATTTAAGACCCCATAGAGTATATATATTCTTCATCAGCATAAAATTCTATTTAGCGATGTCCGTCCGTCTAACCCTCTGTCCGTCTCTCTGTCAGTCTCTATAAATCACTCTAGCTTCCGAACGAAATGAAGTAGGTTGATAAAATTTTACTCAAATGTATATTATATTTGCAGGACTTTGGTATTGAAAATGGGCCATCTAGGTCCACGTTCTGGTATATCCTCCATATAATTGTACCTCCCTGTTTATTCACCGCAAATGTTTCAAATTTGGTATTTGAAGTTCATTATGGATAATATAGTCTATGACAGAAAATTGTCTGTGCAGGTCCATGCCTTCGTATAGGCTGCATATAGCGGCACCTCATGAAATTCGGTATTTCGACGATTTTAGCGGCATTATTCACCGGGATTATATGACAGAAATTTGTCTGTGCATGTCCGCGTCTACGCGTAGCACTCATATAACGGCATTTCCCGATATTCGGTACTTTGATGTTTTTAGCGACATTATTCACCGGAATTGGTTTGGTATTTTTATGATTTTAGCTATATTATTCACCGAATTTTTTTCCAAGTTTCGCATTTGAATATTGTAATGGCTCATGACAAAACTTGCCTATGCAGGTCCACTTCGTTATATAGACCCCAATATAACATCCATATTCGGTATTTTTAAGATTTTAACAGAATCTTTAACGGATTTATATTTTTAGAGGGTATTCAAAGTTCGAACCTGCCGAACTTACAGGTTTCTTTCTTGTTCGCTAATTTAACGTTTCTCTATTAATTCATCAGACATTCAGATCATTGTTTCACTACGCCTTCAGGTTTCTCCAAAATGTTTAGGCAATATATCACTAGAAATTGTGGTTCCTAAATTTTAATGTCGTACCAGACCTTTGCACCAATAATACACTAAATTATCAGTTCAAATTTTTACTAGACCTTCGTATCAATGTTTAATGTTTTATAGAACTTTTGTTCTCTTTCTCTCTTTTGTCCGCAGATCTCTCTTTTGTCTGCAGGCAGATCAAGTTCGAAGATGGGCTATATCGGTCCACGATATCGTATAGCCCCCCATATAACGGTACCCCCCGATATTCGGCATTGTGATGATTTGAAAATCCACACAAGGAGTTTCATGTGGGTACTTTATACTTCGGAAGAGTATTATATATATATAGGTCGACGATATACGAATAGCACCCATATAACGGTACCCCCTATATTCGGTATTTTGACGATTTTTGCCAAAATTTTCAATTGAATTGTCTGAAATTTTACACAAGGAGTCCCTTATGAGTATTTCACCCCCCGAAAGAGAGTTGTCTACATAGGTCCACGATATCGTATATACCCCGTACTCCGCGATATTCCGTATTTTGATGATTTTAGCCAAATTTTTCAACGGAATTGTCTGAAAATCCACACATGGAGTTCCATGTGGGTATTTTATACCTCGGAAGAGAATTATCTATATAGGTCGACGATATCGTATAGCCCCCATATAACGGTACCCCCGATATTCGGTATTTTGATGATTTTAGCCACATTTCCCAATGGAATTGTCTGAAATTCTACACAAGGAGTTCCTTGTGGGTACTTTATACCTCGGCAGAGAATTATCTATATAGGTCCACGATATCGTATAGCCCTCATATAACGGCACCTTCCTATATTAGGTATTTTAAATATTTTAACAAAATTTTTTACGGATTTTTTTTTTTTTTTTTTTTTTTTTTGAAAATTTTCTAATTTGTTCCAAATGGTGGAGGGTATTCAAAGTTCGGCCTGGCCGAACTTAATGTTTTTTGACTTGTTTAATCTATTAAGCATGTAGATCAATGCCTCATTAGTTCTTCGTGTCAATAAAACACAAGAAAAACAGCGTAATGTGTCATTGGCCATCGATTAATGTTCCAATAGGCCTTTTGATCGCTATTTCTTAAATGTTAGGGCTATTGATTCTCTAGACAGCCTGCTTATGTTTTTCACCTAGATCCTCGGTATTCATATTGTACAGGAGCATCGGATCGTATTAGAAAGCCAGAAACACATTGCGTTGTAGATCTGTAAATTGATTTTTATCTGAACTTTGATTTCAATAACAGTACCTAGACTGCCTGCATAGCAATTTATAATCTACTAGCTGAACCCGGTGCGCTTCGCTACCCCTTTTGATTTTATATACATTCAAAATTTTATTTACGAATATATGTAGGATGAAGAAAAACAAATTTAAAAATTAAAAAAAAAAATATTGCACTAATCATTAAACAGAATCATTACAAAAGCAGTAACATGACATGCATACACGAAGGGTTTGTCCTTTGGATTTATTCATTTCATAGCAAATACCAAGCCTGCAGGAAACTGCAATTTTTTTAAGTAGAGTGGCATTTCTATTTCAATTAGTGAATTTGAGATAGCAACATACTTCGCCGTAATAAGCGTATTTCAAATAAATTGTTGTGTTGTTTTTTAGTGTTAGCCTAAGGCGTTGTGGGTCAATGGTTCTTATTAAAATCATATCCCAAACTGATCCGATTTAAATATAATTTTAAAAAAATACTTTTACACCAAACTCCGCCACACCTTTCATATTTCATTGAAATTGGTGCGTCAAATATGTGAAATCGGCCGAGAATATATATATGCGAGCTATATCCAAATCTTAACTAATTTCCAATTAATTTATCACATTTATTATTATAACCAAATTCCGCCACACATTCTGAATTTCATTGGAATCGGTCATATATATCGTGTTTGGTGCATAATATATATGAAATCGTCCGAAATATATATGTTCGCTATATCCAAACCTCAACTGATTTCAATATAATTTGGCAATTTTTTCTGGTGCCAGATTTTGTCTCTCTCGCTTTGAGTGCATCATATATGTGAAATCGGCTGAGTATATATATGGGAGCTATAATCACATCTGAGCGTATTTGAATATAATTTGTCAAATTTATTTTTGTACCAAATTTAGCCACTCATGCCGAATTTCGTTGGAATCGGAAATACGTATCGTGTTTTGTGCATCAAATATGTGAAATCGGCGAACCGATTTCAAAATAATTTGACTAATTTATTTTCTAATCAAAATCCCGTTACATATTCCAAATTTCTTTGGAATCGAACATACATATCGTGTATGGTGCATAAAATACATGAAATCGGTCGAAAATATATATGAGAGCTATATCCAAATCTGAACCGATTTTAATATAATTTGACAAATGTATATTTGTTTTAATTTTCGCTACACATTCCAAATTTCATTGAAATTAGAGATACATAGCGTGTTTGGTGCATCAAATACATGAAATCGGTCGAAAATATATATGGGAGCTATATCCAAATCTGAACCGATTTCAATTTAATTTGACAAATTCATTTTGGCTCCCAATTCCGTTACTTATTTTAAATTTCATTACAATTGGAAATACATGTCGTGTTTGGTCCACCAAATACATGAAATCGGCCGAAAATGTATATGGGAGCTATATCCAAATCTGAACCGATTTCAATATAATTTGGGAAATCAATTTTTTAGATAAAATCTATCACACGTTTCAAATTTCATTGAAACTGGGGATACATAGCGTGTTTGGTGCATCAAATGTTTGAAATCGGCCGAAAATATATATGGGAGCTATTGCCAAATCTGAACCGATTTCAATATAATTTGACAAATTTATTTTCGGATTAAATCCCGTCACACATTCCAAATTTCATTGGAATCGAACATTCATATTGTGTTTGAGGCATCAAATGAACGAAATCGGTCGAAAATATATATGGGAGCTATATCCAAATCTGAACCGATTACAATATAATTTGGCAAACTTATTTTTGTTCCAAATTCCGTTACGTATTCCAAATTTGGAGACTGTATCTTCAACCAATCAATAGATATGTGCATATAAAATCTAAATTTTTGGGAGGTACCTCCGATTCTGATGCTATATCTCCAGTTCGAAGTGGAAATTCAAAAATGTATATAGCCTATGTTACTTTCAGGCTATGTTACAGTATATATGGAAATTTTCAGGAAAATCTATTCAGCGGTTTTCGAGTCCATAAATTACAAACAAACAAACAAACAAACATACAAACATTTTCCTCTTTTATAGATATAGATTGTTCGTCATATATTCACAAAACTGAAAAAGGTGAAGGTGGTTAATGATGGATTCAATAGAGGCTACTTCTCTTATATGAACTTTATATTAATTTTTAATGCCTCTATAAATAACATATTCATTTTTAATCAACGGATCTGCGACGTTGGTGATTGCTTGAGTTCCTGCTACATTTATATTTGACAAATTCAAAATAAACATCTTTTGCTTCATTCATCTTTGCCGTTACAACTAGGCGGCATTCTTTGATATGAGAAAGTATCCCCGTTTCTTACTCGAGGAATTATCATATTATAGATTTCAAAGGGAATCAAAAATCTCGATTAAATAATATCCTTATTTACACTTACCCTTCTACAGGTACCAAAAATCCTATTGGAAGTGACAATATATTATCCCACCTGACTCTCACATACATAGTACTCTAATTCAAAAAGTTTTAAGAAATTGCTAAATTTTTTATTATGTTTTCAAACCTTTTAAAATTTCATAAAAAATATATCAGTTTACCTGTGGCTAAAACATGATTAATAACATAAAAATATTTTGAACAGCAAACAAAAAAAAAAAAACTTATTAAAATATTTAAAAAGAAAAAAATTGGAATTTCAATTCCTTTGACATTTTCCAATCTATTGATGCTGAAAATTGTATTCAAAGATTCCTGCCATGGCGTGTTTCCCAATAAAGGATTATAACTGGAAAAAGGTCACAGCTTGTTTGAAAAGGGTAAAAAATGCCAAACTCTTCTCTCTCTGGGGTGTCCGACCGAGCCAACCCAAAGCGGACAAAGAAACGGCAGAAAATATCATAAATGTGTTCAATTTTGAAGGTAATAACATGGGATTATCAGCATCAAATAAGTGAGTAATTTGGTAATGTTCAATGACCAACAAAAAATTGGAGAAAAGAGAATAATGGCTCTGTCGTTTGTTTAGGATTTTCATGGAAACGAAATTTGAAGTTGAATACTTAAACATCAATTCATGGCAATTCAAACAATGAAAATGCAGGTGAGCTAAAATGTTAAGGTGTCACACCACCACAAAGCCTCCACTAACTAACCTCCAAGAAACTTATACTTAATTGTTATGCTGTGGCTTTTGTTTACATTCTCCCATCTTCTTTTTCAAATGTTTTGGTTTTTGTTCATAACTCAAATTTACTTCAAGTCATTAGCGTAGTGATTTGTTTGCGTTTGGACGGGAAAAAAAACTTAAAGTGTAGCAAACGAATTCCGTAATGCGGGTAATTAAATATAATTAATTATTAGGGATTGTTACAGTTAATAGGCTTAATTAGCGACGCCCTCTTTTTTTTGTTGTGTCCTGGCTGTCACTCAAAGTTGTTAAGAGACACTGAATGAGGTATACCGGGCAAGACAAAGGCAAACACGTTTTTGGGTAATTTTTGGAGATGCACGCTACAGCAGATTGTGATGGAGATGTTATTGGAGGAAGTTTTTGGTACAAAATTTTGTCAAGCATTGATTGATGGGCTCAACGCTTACTGTTTTAATGTGCCACTATATTGAACTCAAAATCTTCATGCGATATAACAGACATGTTGGTGTAGTTTTACTTATTAAATGTTTTAGACCCTAGAACTCTTTGGACCAAATCAGTTTCAGGACAATTATAGTCGGTATAGGTTTGTCCGTCCGTCCGCCTATCTGTCTGCTGTCTGATGCGCAAGACAACTCGAAGGAATTATCCAGTTTGGTACAAACTTCGTTCATCGCAATCTTATTATCTTACTTAGATCGAGTTCGGAGATGGGCAATACGGCCCACTACCTCTGGCAAAGTGTTCAAAAAATATTTTACTGCACAGAAAAAGAAAGAATAATCCGTTTTTGCTCCAACTATGCAAGTCCAAATATTTGCATCGGTACTAGGTCAGGTGAGAAAATAGACAATATCGGTCTATTCCATCATGCACCTTCCTCCCAAAAATTAATTATAACACTTATAAAATGTGATGTAAGAGTCCGATTGTCTTCATTACACACATCTCAATATTTCTATCAACATAAGATCTCCCACAAAGGTCAATCACCAAAAAGATTATAAAATCCCAAAGAAGCATCCCATTATTGCGAAACAACTCAGCGATTCCTTACAACTTGCTAAATTTAAAAATTTCTTTTAAACAGAAACCTGAGAGGAATATGGAATTTAGGATTTCGCATAAAATTGGATGCAAATGTTCGATTTTCTTGTCAATATTTTTATCTGCATTAGATGAAGTATGAAAATGGAATACTTCGATCGACTATATCTGGTACTTCATGCACCAGTGGTACCTCACGCATTTCCAAAAAATTCAAAATATCTTAAAAACTCCAAAGCAAAAGATCTGATTACCAAGCGCACACGGGTTCAACTGCGAAATAGAGGGTTGTGAGTTCCAGACTCACCGATATAGTTGTTGATGTGGAAGTAAGACTCGCAACAACTCTTAATATTCTTAACTAGGCACAGTGTGCTTAACTATTAATGATAGGATTGACACTTCAATACTAGGCGTAAACAAGTTAAAAAGCAATAAGTTCGGCGGGGCCGAATCTTGAATACCCTTCACCATTTGGAACGAATTTGGAAGTTTTCAAAAAAAAAAAAAAAAAATAGAATCTGTTAAAAATTCTGTGGAAATCTTAATAATACCGAATACAGCAACTTACCGTTATTTTGGGGTTATACGAAGATGTGAATCTGCATAGGCACTTTTATGTCACAGGCTGTAGTATCCATTACGAACATCAAATACCAAATTTTAAACAATTCCTGTGAATAATGTCGCTAAAATCATCAAAATACCGAATACAGGGAGGTACAGTTAAACGGGTGCCATAAATAAACTTAGAACTATATATTTAATTTTCAATACAAAGCTAAAGTGATTTCCACATACGGACAGACATAGAATATTATACTGTTCGAGAATATACAGGACGAGATAAAAAACTGCAACAAAGTCAAATGCCATAATTTTTAAATTTTTTTAATTGAATTGAATGAAAGCTAGAAATAGTATCAAATTTTAGAATAAGTTTAGATTTGTTCGAATTGGCCACCTTTGGCACGAATTATGATCTTCAAACCGCCAATGAAACCGTCACACGCTGCCCGAATGTTGCTCTGCGGTATTTTTGCCCATTTCCGGTAACGAGCTTGCTTGTGGTGATCAACACTTTGGTATTTTTTAGTGCCAACCTTGTTTTCCAAAATACTCCAGACACAATAGTCCACCGGATTGGTATCCGGGTATTCTGGTGGACATTGTACGCTGGAAGAGAAGTGAGGAACCTCGAATTGTAACCATTCTGGGGTGGCGCGTGCTGTGTGGGAAGGAGCTGAGTCCTGTTGGAATGTCCAAGGTCTGCGGCCAAAATGTTTGCGTGCCCAAGGCTTTAATACACCCTCCAGAATATTTTCGCGATTTTTTTCGCGGATAGCGACCATCGGCTGTTATGGCGGCCCACACTATCACCATGGCCAGCGCTTGAGTTCTGGTGGCCAACAGAAGGTGCACATTTTAAGCTGACCTCCTTGGCAAGTAAACACGATAATTTTGTTTGTTTACAGACTGCTGGACAACTAATGGTTTCTCATCGGAGAAAACCAAATTCGGCAGTTCACCATTTTCGGCCAAGCGAAGCAACTCTTTATCTCTTTTGAATCTATTTTCTTTGTGTTGCGGTGTAATTTCTTGCACTTTTTGGAGTTTCAATGGCTTTTGCGATATATAATATTGCGATATGTTCAGCTCACGAGCCATTTTTCGGCCAATGCGATGAGGGTTTCGATCAAGTCGCTTCTTTACTTTTACTCACATTTAAATGCTGGAGTGCTCTAACGATAGCCACTTGTGGTTTTCCAGCCAATTATAAAGAAATCACACCGTCACGCTTGAATTCCATCACGAATAACTTTTTTCCTGGAAAATTTTTTCCAAAATGCTTTTGTACGCTTGTACACAAAATAATGAGCTGTCACTGGAATAATTTTAACAGCTGTCGGACGAGTGGCTTAGAAATGACTGCAGTCTGAAGTTGGTTGCAGTTTTTTCATCTCACCCTGTAATTGTATATTTCAGGCATATATGGATATTTAAACTCCTCGCAAAAAATATTCAATGTAAGTTTACTTTATAGTCCCCAAATAGCTTCCCAATTGTGGGCATTTTAAAGGTTTTAGACCCAATTTCCAACGAAATCAGCTGCAATTTGGGTAGTTTAGCTCCTATCATGAAGTATTCTATTTACGTCTACTTCATGATACAGCTCCCTTATAAGTTATTACCTGAATTGCGGTATTTTTAATGTAACCGGTCCAAGTTCTAACAAAATCAGCTGTAATTTTAGATTTAGGGTTCATTAAGGTTAGTTTAACTCCTCTCAGAAAAATATCAAAAATGGTTTAAACCTCATATTACGGATCTTCTAAATTTTGGGCATAAGAGATTTGGCAATAATTCAAATTTTCACATGGTGGATGGTACTGGACCTCTGGGTTTTTCCTGATAATTCTTTGTGAGGGTTTCAGCGGTAAATTTTGAACTCAGGTTGCTTTAATTTTGTAGTTTTGGAATAAAAAGTAAACTTATATCTTACCCATACAATGATACCGGAAATATTATTTGCTTTTGAAGATCTAACCAAATTTTCCATCCGAAGTGACTCTAATTTGATATTAATTTCTTGATTGCACCCATATTAGCTATAATTTTACGATTAATTTTTTCAAAAATTCTAATCCATCCTGTGGAGCATGAATCACTTATTTTCGTTGGTTTGAAGATTCCATCTAAAATTTTTAACTTAGTTACCCCTCCTTGGGTAGTTTGTGTTTTTAATAAATTGAAAGCTGTCAACAAGCAACCCCATAGCCATATTTTCTAGCCGACTTGGCTGTAACTTGACATATCCGATACTTTGCGAATATCTATCGCAAGAATATATAGGTATAGATAAGGCCTCCTATAACACTAGAGTAAAATAATGGTTTGAACATATCGCCCATGAACCATAACTCTAGATTTTAAGCCCTTATACTTACTTGACTTAGATAATTTAATGGTTCCTCCTAGTGAAGTGTAAAATAGCTTCGCCCCAGCCGACCTTTATTTTAAATGTTAACATTATGTTCTTCCCATTTCTGCCACTAAACAAGCAATTCTTAAGCGTTTCCATTTAATTTATTGTTTACTGTATTCCCAATAAACTGTAATTCCAAAGTGGCTTAATTCCTTCACCTCCTTCTCCCCCATTTTTTGTTTGTTATGCCGTGCCGCTAAGTCAATTAAATCTGTGATTAGTGTTAAGTACTCCAACCCCCTAACCCCACATCCACCAATTAACGGAAAAAACAAACAAAAGAATTTTACGGCGAGAGAATCGTATTTTCCAACAACGTTTATCTCGCTCATAAATAAATTAACAATTTCCGTCGACATTGCTTTCGCCTGGCAATAAATTACAAATTCAATTGCAAAACATTTAAACTAATCAAATTAAGAGAAAATTAAAAAGAGATAGCTACAGAGTTTCACAAAACCCCGAGAATTTGCACAACGAGTTTGCAATAAATCTCGGGGAATTTTTTTTTCTGCTATGGGGTGGTAATGGATGGTAGGGGTCTTGGGGTAACTGAGATAGAAAAAGCCTCTCCTATGAAGTGTCTTATGGCGAAATAATTATTTGTGTCACATTTATTGAAAATGTGCTGCTAATAGGCATTGTCACACGCACAATGCCGGAGGCTTTTCTAGACTTGCGAATAAATCACAAATCATGCCATGGAACAGAAGCAATCGTTACACGAAAATCTTAGAATGCGAGCATAATGAACTTGGCATTAAAATGAAAAATGATGGCTTAGCAAAGTAGCAAAAAAAAGAACACAAACACACACACATGCACGTGCCAACGTACACAGCAATCATAAAAAAGAAGGTAGTATTCATACATACTCATATTTACACGTACATAGGTACAAAGTGGTGTTGTTGTT